TCTCTGCAGGGTTTGCCCTGAGGAAGGCAGGGAGCAGCGGGGCAGGTTGGACTGAGTGGGGCCGTGATCTAGTCTGGCTCTGAGTTTCCACTACCTGGCCTGGATCCTCCATGGTTTTTTTGCGTATTGTCCCTCTCCCTGCGTCTCTTGCTCTGTCCCAGCAATCAGCCCGGAAGCAGCATCACCCGATCGGCCCCAATCTCTGAAAAGGCAAAGGGAAGAAACGCATGTCAGGAAAGACAGGACCCACGTGGGGTAGGCCTGGCGTGGTAGCTCATGCCGGGGATCCCCACGCTGCCCCTGCAGAATACCGGATTGCAGGGATCCTTTATGGCAGCCCCTGCTCCCCATAGACATGGCTTAGCCCGGGTTCTCCTGGCCCTCTCTGCAGCATCCCAGCGCATAGGCACAGTCGTGGATCCAGGCCTACTCTGCAGGTGCACGGCTGGCTTTGGGAGGAGGGGGGCTCTTGTGGATCAGGCACTGAGCTGGGACTCAGGAGAGTGGGGGTCAGTTCCTAGCACTACCCAGGCTCCCAGTGTGACACTGGGCAAAACTCCAAAGGCCAGGTTTTCCAAAAGTGCTTTGCACCCCACGCAGCGGAAATCTGGCCCTTCAACTCCCTGGGCCTCCATTCCCCATCTGTACAGTAATAATCCATTATCTGCCTGGTCTCGTTAGACTGTCAGGCCCAGATCTTCAAAGCTCTTGAGGTGCCTTATTCCCAGTGATTTCTATGGGAGTTAGGCCCCTAAATACTTTTGAGGATCTGAGCCTAAGCTCCGTCTCTCAGTCTGCCTGTGCAGCGCCTGGCACTGGTCTCAGCTGGAGCCTCAAGAGATTCGTGTCATAAAGCTCTGGCTCCTTTGTCAGGGCTGGCGGTGTGTGCCATAGGACGCGCCTCTATCCCTGGTGCCATCTGTCCATCCCTGCTGACGGCCACCCACGTACAGATGGTGTTTGCGTTTCCATCTGAGCTTTCTGGGCTTCTGGGAACTGTTTATTTTGAGGTTTGCGATTAGCACATTTGGGGGTGTCATGTCCCTAAGCCCCCCCTCCCCCTTAGCACAGAGTCACACGGGGAGTCATTCGCTCCTGTGACACAGCCCCGCTCCCCAATGCCAGGCGTTTGCTACGCTGATGTTTAAGGTAATAACAGGGGAAACGAGGTGCAGTGGTTTGCTTAGGGTCACTCAGCGAGTCCCCAGTAGGGGTGAGAGCCGCGTACCAACCCACAGCTCCCCAGCGTGTAACCCACCTTGGGCCGCAGAGGGAATGAGTGCACCCAGGCAACAGGTTTAGGCCGTGTCTGCATCGACCTCCGGACCAGGGCTTGCAGAGTGGCACCGGTTTAACTTAAAATGGGGTTTGAAACCAAGTTTGAAACCCAAAGGCTGTGTGGACGCTCCAGCTTTGGTTTAAACCGGGCTTATTTGATTTCGTTTAAGCTGATCAGGAACAGGTTCAAGCTAAACCAAAATAAGTACAGGAGTGTGCCCACCGGTGTGCACCAGTTTCAAAAAGGGTTTAAATTAAACTGGTGCAACCTCTGTGTGTTGAGGAAGCCTTAAAGACCTGCCCAAACCAGCCTGTGGAACCACAAGCCCTGAACGACAAGGGAGTCTGGATTCAACTCAGCTCTCTCATTCCCTACTGTAATAGAAGGGGGAGGAGAGCCAGAGCATGGGGCCAGTTCAGACCCAGATCCAGTAGCAAATATCAGGACACCAGCTCATTTCTCTAACAAATCATACGGGAACCCCAGCTGCAGCACATCCAGAGGCCTCTCCCCTTCTCCCCCCCTGCAAAAAAACTGGGAGAGTTCATATCCCAAATGCTGATCCAACCTTGGGTCCTCGGCACATCGTAATCCCAGCTAAACTGGTTTGCAGCAGGTCTTAGCCAGCCAGTGAGCACCAAGGCTAAACAGCGAAGGTCTGTTTCTATGCACTACCTAGGGTGGGTCTGTTTCCTTGCTGATCAATGCATTTTGTGAATTTAGGTTCTAACGCGGCTTTGGCCCCGTGCAAACTGGCTGCCTGGCCTGTCTTTGACGCCAGTTTCTTGGGAGCCCCGTTTCAACAAGCTGCAGCCAGGCACACACCGTACAGCCACCCGGCTCGGGAGTGAGAATCAAACCTGGGACCATCCAGCACCAGACGCCAGTGCAGCCCTCTGAGCAGAGTTCTGGAAGCAGCCGGCTAGCGCAGTAGCTGGGGTCAGCCACTAGAAGGCGACACAATCATACACTAACCCACTGTCTCACACTTGCCTGAAGGCAGAATCTTGCCTCGCCTGGTCCATCCTTTGCCAGATGTACTCAGGCCACTTTCAGAGCTGGCTGGGCCCGGACCTGCAGCCCTCCACTCCTGTGAGCGGCCTCAGGGGCGCTCAGGGTCTGGGCCCCAGCTAGTCTGGCGTTAGCCCGTTTGAATCGTTAGTTGCTCCCACCTGTCTCAGAGACGCAGGAGCAGAGGGTGGAACTGGGCTGTCTCCGGGATGAATTTTCAGAGCCTCCCCCCCGCCCCTCCCTGGCACTGCAAGGGCCCGTTGATTCTCTGTATGGCAGTGCCTGGCTCTGGGAAACCCCGAGTATATGGCCAGTAGGAGGTTCTGGGTCAGATAACTGGGCTTCCCCGTGCTGGCTCTGGCTACCAGCCAATAGGAAGGAGTTGCCCATGGGAGCCGTGTAGGGGGGAGACTGGAGGGTCCCTGTCACAGGATACTGCAGATGACTAGCAAGCTCGCTGCAGCCTCGTAGGGGATGGGGAAAACCCAGGGAAAACGCAGGATAAATATCCCGGGGAATTCACTGAAGACGTGGCCAGCCTGGTAGGTGGGTGGTGGGCTAAAGGGAGAAAGGGGTAGGGAAGCGTTTGGGGTCCAGCCCTGTATTGCCTGCCTGCTGGCATGACTGATACCAGGATAACCGTAAGCCCAGCAGCTCCGTGTGCTGCTGGGGATCTGTCATGCGTGTGCAGACAGGACCTGGGTCATAGTGCATGGCGTGAGCTCCTACGGTGACACAGGGTCTACACCCGGAGAGCCCGTCGGCTCATCCTCTTGGGCCGCGCTTTGTGGCTAAGCTTGGAAATCCCCAGGGCTTGCAGGGAGTCACTCAGCCGATGGCACTTTGCCACCTGAGCCAGCACTGAGCCAACGCCCGTGCTTGGCGCTAGCGGGTGCTGCGCGGCTGGAGATGCCGCGTCAAATCCAGCCTGGCTTGATCGTTGACGACGCCACGACATGTTTTCTTTTTGCGAGAGCGGGCGGTTTTAGCCCACTGCCCCACTTCTGACTGTGACACTCTAGACACCCACAGATCCTTCTGTCTTTGCCCTGTAGCTCTCGCGTGGCCTGGCTGTGCACAGTAGAACAGCTCCACGCCCCACCCCAGAGCTGGCTGCATTTCAGCAGTGGGTTTGCAAAATGCTTTGGAGTAAAAGGCGTTCCAGGCACTTGGGGGGGGGCGGGAGGGGATATTGCATCAGCACCTGGCTGCTGTGTTCTGCACCGTACTGATAGTCCATGGGCTGAGCCCATCTGTGCAGTCAACCCCCACTCCCCTCCCTTCCCCTCCCTGCTTCCCTGCTAGGGGGTCAATATGTACCTGGGTCCCTCCCCTAGTTATTGGCAATGGCCTTGTTAGCCCCTTAGTAGCCCAGCTCCAGGAATCCCCAAAGGAGGGACAGCTCCGTGCCCAGCCAGAGCCCAGATTGGGACAGGGGTGAAACGGCACAAAAAGAACCGACAGCAGGAAAGGGCGGGGGGGGGAGAAGGGAAGGGGGGGGGAGGGGGGGGGGGCTATCTCTCCCCCTCAGCAGGGCTCAGGTGCTGGAATGATTGACATCCCTTGACCCAGCAAATGACACTGATGCCACAGTGTATAATAGTGA